ATAGATTAACTACATTGCTTAGTTTCAACAAGTACAGGATCAATTTTCCTATAATTAGACAAATATTAAAAAATTAATAATTAATGTTATGAAGAAAAGAATAATTGACCAAAAATAATGCTTACCATATCTGATTTGCGTATTCTTTGATAGCACGATCGCTATATAATATTAAAAAACATGATTAATAAAGTGTGATATATATATATGTAATTTTACAGACATTTATATACTTACGATGAGAATTTGCCCATATTTGCAGCACACAAGATACTCTTTTTTGACCATCCTTCTTGATCTTTATAAGCTTCATCCACCAAAATTTGTGCATTAAGGTATGATTCGAAATCATCAGAGATTAGATAATAGTCTTTACCGTGAGTCAGTGTGTTGATTAAGGGTGCAAAAATACGCGAATCTCCAAAGTGACCTGATTCGATGTCGTTTACTACCGCTTGTAAAGCGGGATCCATTGGTACGTTACGGTATCTTTATCAAATAATGGAAAAGTATTCTAACATATTTTTTTTTATAATTTATAAACAATATTGTTTGTTTGCTTACCTATGCGCATGTCTCAAGTCATCGACTCTATCAGCCAAATGTCCAAACATGAAAATGTTCTCGTCACCAATTTCTTCATGAATTTCAATATTAGCACCGTCAACTGTACCGAGAATTAAACCTCCGTTTAAAACAAATTTCATGTTACTGGTTCCAGAAGCTTCTGTACCGGCTGTTGAAATATGTTGCGAAATGTCCGAGGCTGGAATAATAATTTCGGCAACTGAGACATTATAATCTGGGATAAAAACAACCTGTATAATAAAATAATTTATGAAAATAAGACATGTTATATAATTATATCATGTTACAATGAGAAGGAATATGATTTACCTTCAAGGTATCTTCAATTGAAATGTCTTTGTTCACAACTTCGGCAACACTATTTATCAATTTAATCACCAATTTTGCAATGTAATAACCTTTGAAATTTTTTTTTAAAAAAGTATTAATTTAATAATTATATAGATTCGAATTTCGTAAATCATTTCAAATTAATAAAAGTAATTACCGGGGGCAGCCTTTCCTCCAAAAATGACAACTCGAGGAACAGATTTGGCTCGTTCTTTTGTGTCCATCTTTTTCAATGCATTATATCGGTGAATGACACTAATAAAAATAAAAATAAATGAATTAGTGATTTATCTAAATTTTCAATTATTTTCATGAAATAAACATGAGCGTACCTCAAGATATTCATAAATTGTCTTTTATATTCATGGATTCTTTTAACTTGAACGTCAAACAAAGCATTTGGATTTACAATAATTCCAGTAGATTTTTCGATGTATTTAGCCAGACGAGCCTAATATTATGAAATTTCAGCATTCAATTGTTGCAAATACAATAACTTAATAAATTCAAATCATCGCATACCTTGTTTGAATGTTTAACATCAACCCAACGTTTTCTGAAATCTTTTTTGTCAACACATTTTTCAAGTCCTTTCAATAAATAAAGGTTCTGACCATTATTAAAGAAAAGGATTATATTAGTGAAAAAAAACCCCCATCAATTTAATTAAGTAAATGATATAATTTACCTTTAGCCAATCTTTATTTCCTAAGGTCTCGGTTATTAAATCACTTAATTTAGGATTTGCCTGATGTAACCATCTAAAAAAAACAATATACATTCAATTATTAAATAAAAAATGACATCTTAAAAATTATTATTCTAAAGTACCTGCGAGGAGTAATGCCGTTTGTCTTGTTCTCGAATTTTTTATCACCATAAAAACCAACGAAATCTTTAAAAATCTATATGAAAAATTAAATATCAATCAAATCAGAAAAATAAAAAAGATGTTCATTAATAATTTAGTAAATTAAATTTTTTTTTTTACCGTTGTTTTGATTAAGCTTGAATGTAACTCAGCAACACCATTGACACGATGTGAACCTAATAACGGTCAATTGTGATCAGTCATATAAAATAATTTATATGGAAAATACAAATCAAATTTTGACTTACCAACGATGGCAAGATGTGCCATTCTAAAGAAAATATGCAAAATGAATTAAATGTCGAAAAATATTATAATTAAATAATTCCTTCTTTACTAACCTCACGAATTGTGGTGATGACTCCTCAATAATAGATAATTTGGCTAAAATGTCACGATCTTTGGGATAAGCCTTTTCAACTTTTTGTAAGAAGAACTGTTATAATAACAAAGAAAATTAGAAAAAGATCAGATCAAATTAAAGATTATCTGACACCGATTACGATTTACTTACTAAATTGATATCGAAAATGATCTGCATATGTCTTGGTAACAAATATGACACCATGGGAACTGGCCATCTTTCCATAGCTTCGGGAAGAATAGTGTGATTTGTGAAAGCAAATGTTCGGGTGACAATGCCCCATGCATCATCCCAGTCAAGTCCTTCAAGATCGACCAATATTCTTTGAAGTTCGACAATAGCAAGTGTTGGATGAGTGTCTAATAAACAATTAATGTTAATTAATTAAGCAAAAGATCATTTGTTCGTGCAAATTCACTCACTAACCATTCAATTGGATGGCAACCTAAATATAAAAAGAAAGGTAAGATGAAGAGGGGTTAATATTATACATATTTAATATATAAATTTGTTTATACAAGGTTCACCTGATTAGGGAATTCGGTCCATGATCTTTGTGATTTTTTGAAGCGGCGAACGCTATTAATAGATAAAAAACTTAATATGTAGAACTACAATATTTTGATCAGTTTCACAAATGTTTAAATAGCCAATATCTTACATATCGTGAAGACTAGCAGCTACCCAGAAATATTGTTGTTTAAGACGTAATTCCTTGCCAACCATATGATTGTCGTTAGGATACAACACAGCAGTTATATTTTCAGCTTTCATTTGTTCTTGGACAGCCTGTTCATATTGACCTTCGTTAAATCGGTTAAGATCAAATTGGCGCTCAGGTTTACTACTCCATAGACGGATATTGATGCAATTCTTGGTACCATATCCTGATAAAAAAACCAATCTATTTTATTAGATA